CTGTTTCTACACTGTAGGGATTCTATAAAAAAAAATTTACTCAGTACCACTTGGTGATTGTGATGTTTCTGAGTTCCTCCCTTCTTACCACTTCCTGATTTTTAACTGCATTTATCCACTTTCATCCCATAGCACTCATTACTTAACGAATATCTATCGACCTAACTTCTTAAATTGCCAGAGGTGTGCAGGTTAGGTGGATTAGCCATGCTGAATTGCTCCATAGTGCCCAGGAATGTGCAGGTGTGGTGAATTGGCCAATTGACCCCCAGTCTGAACAGTCTCTTGGGACAGTGAGCTCCACATTTCCATTCTCTCTGTCCCTTTGTGTGAAGATATGCTTCCTAATGTCCTGACTCCACTGTTTGGAGCAATCCTGAGCACAAAAGTGATTGTTGTTCTTGAGAACTCCTACATTCAGGCCTGGGACATCTCTGTGGAAGTTCCTCAGGGTAGTGCTCTTGGCCCAGCCATCTTTAGCTGCTTCATCAATGACCTTCCTGCTCTCAACTCCGATGAGAGGATGTTTACACACTGGTCAGTAATTTTTACAACTCCTCAGTTACACTCCACAACTTTACGCAAACAAAATCTGAAAGAACTGCGGATGCTGTAATAAGGAGCAAAAACAAAGTTGCTGGAAAAGCAGTTCTGAGGAAGGGTCACCGCACCCAAAATGTTAACTCTGTTTTTTCCTTCACAGGTGCTGCCAGACTTGCTGAGCTTTTCCAGCAACTTTTGTTTTTATTACACAAACAAAGTTTGGTGAATTCTAGTCAGGCAGCATCTAGAAAGAAAGTTAACATTTCATCAGAACTTTGTGCGACTTTCTGTTCTCTTCCATCCTTTCATGCTGCCTAACTTGATGCCATTAGTTTGTGTTTACAAACCTCTTCGTTCTTTCAAGTCATTGATGATAATGTTGAAAATATGAGGTCTATGTACAGGTTCCTTGAGGATATTATTACTGTGGTGTAGGTTTATGCAAAAAATCAGATGCTGGAAAGAAAGAGGATCCTGTGGTAGAGGTTTATAAGGAGTGGGTGATGGAATGCAGAAGTGGAATTTAAGAAGAATGCTATGAAGATTGAGGTTTGAACATTGAGCACAGGACAGGAACGGGCCCTTTGGCTGACGATGTTGTGCTGAGCATGATGCCAAATTGAAAGATTTCCTACTGGTTTTTTCGGCTGAATGCTTCACAATTCAAAAGCACCTAATCAAATATGAAGGGCTTCTGGACATTAGGTTTCATTTGAATGCCCGCAATATTCATGATGCGCAGGAGGTCTCTGGCTCTTGTACATTGTCTCCTGTTAACTAAATGAATCTCATGCAGGCCCAGCTCTAACTTCCCTCAATTGCAAGTATATAATTTTAGTTGGGACTTGTTACAATGTAGCTTAATTCCTGAGGGCTGGGTTGTCCACTGCCAAGGGTTTTAGGTACAGGAAGAGGCCATTTAGCTCTCTCTTGGGAAAAAGTACTTCCGATGTCAGACTTTATTGGCTTTGCTGGTCTTACCCCACCCCATCATCTGGGCAATGTCACCCTTTCTAAGGGGAAGCAGTTGATATGATCAGACCACAGGCCTGGACTGCGCCAGCTGCCTTGTGACCATGGGTGACAGTTTAGTGATGAATTCAGCAGCTGTGACCCTGAATCTTACCATTACACTCTATCTGGACTTTGCATGAGGTTGTGATATTTGTTGGAGGGGGTCCTAGGGTCTGTCTCATCAAATCTCTGCCTGTTCCATTGCAGATGTTGTGATCTCCACAGCCTGTCACCCAACAGAAAACATCATTGCATCAGCAGCACTGGAGAATGACAAGACAATCAAACTTTGGAGGAGTGACTGTTAGAGAGCAGCAGCGCCTCCCCTTGGAAAAACACAACCTGTCCCAGCTTCTCCAACATGGGGACAGGCTTCTCATACTCCTGATGTCTGAGACTCTGTAGATTCTGTCTAAACCAGTGATGAGGGATTACAGACCTAGTGGGAGCATTGGAACAAATCCAATTTTTACTGCAGATTCATAACACTTAGCAAATTATTGTACATTTAAAAAAACACACATGGTGCATGCACAGCCCGTGCCTACACGCTTGTGTATACACACAACTAAAGGTCTTTTTTAGTGACCAAATCACTTGTGGTTTTCCCCCACCTGGTTTCTTGTGAAAACTCATTTTTTAAAAGCAGGTTTAGTTGGTAGAATGTTTTTGTAAACTTAATATTGACAGCTGCAAGTTTAGACAGTTAACCACCTTGCCTTTTAAATTCTTTTATTTGTGCGACTGCTTGTCTCCCTCACCCCCACCCTGTGCTTGTAGTGGTCCCAGGTAACTGACCAGCTACTCCCCGGTCCCGGTCCCTGACTCTGGTGACCTTTCATAATTTGCCACAAGGTTCTGGTTTGCCACCCTGCTCAGCCTCGTTCATGCGTGTGATGTAGCAAGATTGAGCCTAGTAGACGTGTCCTCAGTGCTGTTGTGCCCAGATCTCTCCCAGCAAAATTTAGCTCCTGTAGCATCAGTAACGGCACTCGTGGCTGTGGCCTTCAAGGGAGCAGTTTCAGGAGACAGTGCTATTGTTGAAGCTCCTGACTTGATCCATCAGTTGCTTCTAAATGAAACTGAACTTCTGTGCCGAAGGCATGTGGGATAAACCATCACCCACATTGGATCATATTTGTAGACAGTCAGCTGCCTGTGGGTAATGCCGTTCTTTAAGTGCATCAGACCCACCAAAGGTGATACTTCTGATTGTCCCAGCTCTGTCACTCGATCATTAATCCTTATAATATCAGACTCTGGTCACTGTGGTTGGTGTCCTTCGAGTTTGCACTGTCACCAAGAGTCATACCCATGATGTGGGCATTCTGCTCCGGACCCCAGTTTCAAATTTTGAGAATAACTGCAACCTCAAACCTGTGCATTTACCCTCTTGTTACTGCATTGCAAGGGCATGTTGTTCACCTTTTAACCTCACTTCAGGACATTTCAATCCATGCCCAAGCCTGGTTCAGGGTCAGAGCAGTTCTCAATAGTGGGTGGACTGGGGAACATAGAAGCACCCAGTCCACTCCTTGCTGTGTTGGCAAGTGCAGGTAAGATGTGCCTACAATGAGTGTGGGAAAAGCCGAGCTGACTGAGGCACCTGGCAACGCGTTTATTTCATGGAAAGGACCCTTTGACATGAGCTGAAGTCACCGAGCACCAGTGCGATAAGGGATTTCCTGTTTAAACTAGCTGAGCGACTGGGGCAGGTTCATTGCAGCTTCTGAATTGGAGTTCGTGATCAGGAAGACATGGGGAGATCGAAGGAAATGGGTGCTGAAATGTTTTTGCCCAAATGTTTCCCAGTGATCTCCAGTGCTGACAGCTTTTCCTGGACATGCTTTGAACAGGGCCTTGTGACTGTGTGAAGCCAATATCTTTTAAAAGGTCGGTTTGTTTGCTGCCAGTCTTGTGTAATCTACAGACACAGAGGAAATCACTTCTTCCATTATCTGTGAATAGTCCAGTAGTTGTAATGATCTCTCGTGGGTGTCGAGACTTTCAGCCCGTACGAGGTTTGGATGTAATTTTACCCTCTATTCCCACCTAATACAAGAGGTTTGATCATAAGAAAAGCGTTTTTTTTATTGTCAGCTGTCATCTGACAGCAGGTTTCAGACTGACATCAATTTCTGTGAAATATACTAGATATTGCTGGAGATTGAAACTGAAGCATCAATGTAGATACTATCTACCCACCCAGTGTGGCTTATTGCATGACACTGGGATAAACGCCTAGTGAAGATGTGCTTACTTTTCTTAACTGATACATGAATAGGCAGGGAATAGAGGGCTTTGTACTGTGCACAGGCAAAAGGTTTTAGCTTAGAAAGGCATCATTTGTTGTCACACCTGGTGGGCCGAAGGGCCTGTTCCTGTATTGTGTTGTGCTGTGCAGTACTGTTCTGTGTCTTTGTACTAACATCAGTTCCACAGATGACATCTCTCACTAGGGTACAGTTCCACACACTGACTCTCACTGGGGTAGAGTCATAGAGTTGTAGAGCACAGAAACAGACTCTTCAGTCCAACTCATCCATGTCACCAAGTTCCCCAAACTAAACAAATCCCACTTGCCTGGGTTATGCCTATATCCCTGTAAACCTTTCCTAATCAGTATCTGTCCAAATCTCTCTCAAATATTGTAACTGCACCTGCCTTTACCACTTCCTCTAGAAGTTCATTCCACATATGAACCACCCTTTGCGTGAAAAAGTTTGCCCTTACATCCTTGTGAAATCTTTCTCCTCTACCTTAAAAATATGCCCCCTAGTTGAAATCCCCCAGTCTAGGGAAAGAGCTTTGTTCTTCACCTTATCTATGCCCCTCGTGATTTTATAAACCTCTATAGTGTCATCCCTCAAACGCCTACCTTCCATAGAAATATACAGCACAGGAACAAGGCATTGCTCGCGAGTGTAACAGGATACTTTGTTTGTTTTGATTAAACTCCAGCAAGCTCGACAATGCTTGGCACATGGTAGCCACCTGATCTGTCCCTCTCCACCAAATTGACCATTCAGTTACTCCTCCACTGGCATGCAGTGCCTGAAATACGCTACATTGTTCATTAATGCCATAAGTGTTATTGTCTGAGCCAGCATTTCTATTTCACCACAAAATGCCCCAAAGAAGGTGGTTGTGAGCTGCCTTCTGGAGCTGCTGCAATCCATGTGTTGTAGGTAGACCAGCAATGCCCTTAGGCCAAAATCCTGAAATTTTCTATCAACACTGAAAGAATGATAATATATTTCCAAGTCAGGATGGTGAGTGTACACCTTAAGGGGCTGTTATTTCCAAGTGTCTGTTGTTCTTGCTGGTGAGGGTTCTGGGTCTTCTCTGCCTGATTGTGTCTGGTAGTGATGGTAGGTCACAATTGATTTCTGTGTTATCTGTTTCTGTTATTTATTTCTGTAGTTTCTATTTTTGGTTGGAGTATGATGAAGGAAGTGAGACTGAGTAAAGCCTCCACGTTTCATTTACTGGTTCACACCATCTGTTGCTGCCGTCACTTTGAGAACGCTTTCTGCCAGGAGGCCGTGTTCCTGACAGTTGTTTGGATTTTGAGAATGACAGGGTGTCTGGGAATCTGTCAGGCTGGTGCCTACCCTCTTCATGTTCTCTGCTGCCTTGTGCTCACCTACCTCCTTAACCAACTGGACCGCTATCTGCTGGCCATTGTAATCCAGCCACTAGCCCAGGATATTCAGTTTGGAGAAAAGAGTTGTCTCCCCAGGGTGAGCGATGAGCAGATTGGGGAACGATGCCATAATGCCAGTTCCCAGGACAGGTGAGTACCTCGGGATGACCAAGCAGGTGAGCCCCAGGGATGGGGAGATAATGAACAGAGGATGGGAAAGGCAGAGTGTGTATGTATCGGTCTGTGTGCACCTTTAATCAGGATTAGAAACCCAGGGCTTGTTGGAAGGGAGATGGAGGTAATGGCATTGAGTTCTGGACATAATGGAGCTTGAGGAGGCCTTAAGGAGGGAGCTTGGGTCTGGAGGTGGCAGGAGATGGAGAGGCACAATGCCTCTTCTTCCTCAGGTGGCTCAGGAAATTTGGTACCAACGTCCACAGATGCACCATTGAAAGCATACTATACAGCACAGGATGGAGAGACAGTTGTTTTAAGTGATAGGGCGGAGCTGGGAGTGAATCAGAAGAGCAGTCAGTGTGGGTAACGCTTCTGGGCCACAGTTGCAAAGTTCACAGCCGGCATCTGGAGTGAATGAGTAGCCTGAATAAGGAAGATCCCATTTACTCCAGCAAGATGAATTATGGAAGTGGATGATTTGAATGTGGTTTTTTCACTCACTCAAGCAGGAACTGAAAATATCTAAATGATTTTGAGTCTGGGCTGTTGTTTGTGCCAGTGTGCGTAACGCTGTGTTGACTGGGGTTTTTTATATTCATTCGTGAAAAGTGAATGTTGCTGGTTAGACCAGCATTGATGGATTTATTGTCACATGTACCAAAGTACAGTGAAAATCATTGTTTACAACCAGTATAGGCAGATCATAGTAAGCAAAGGATGTGCAGATCAAAACTATTTAGACAGAGATACAGGTTACATTGTGCACAGGGTGTGCATGAGGCAAGATCAATGTTAGCAAGATCAGCATTATTTGAGGCCAGAGAGTCCATTCATTGTCTGATAACAGCTGGGAAGAAGCTGTTCCTGAACCTGCTCGTGCGTGTGTTCAGGCTTCAGTATCATCTGCCTGATGGAAGAGGTTGTAGGACACCGTCATTACCAGAGTGCGATGGGTCTTTGATGATGTTGGGAGCCTTTCTGCAGCAGTGAACCGTGTAAATGGAGTCCACGGATGAAAGGTTGGCTTCCGTGATGGTCTGGGCTGTGCACACCACCTTCAGCTTCTTATGGCCCTGGGCAGAGCAGTTGCCATACCAGGTCATTATACACCTGGATAGTATGCTTTCAATGGTGCATCTGTGGACATTGGTGCCAAATTTCCTGAGCCACCTGAGGAAGAAGAGGCATTGTGGCTTGACTGTTGCATTTACGTGGGCAGTCCAGGACAGTTTGGTTATTGACACTCCAAGGAACTTGATGCTCTCCACCCTCTCAACCTCAGTTCCATTGATGTAGATGGGGTTGTGTTCTCCTTTCTTTCTGAAGTCGATGATCAGTTCTTTAGCTTTTCTGACGTTGAGAGAGGTTGTTTTTGTTGCACCATGTCACCAAACCCTCTATCTCCCTCCTTTATTTTGACTTGTCATTGTTGGATATCCGCCCCACTATGGTGGTGTCATCTGAGCTTGTAGATGGCGTTCGTTTGGAATTTGGCAACACATTTGTGGGTGTACAGGGAGTGCAGTAGGAGATTCAGGACACATCCATGGGGGAGAGGGGTGCTCTATTGTTGTGTTACTGTGGAGGAGGTGCAGTTACCTATACTCACTGGTTGTGGTCTATGGGTTAGAAAGCTGAAGATCCAGTTTCAGAGGGCGGAGCCGAGACCAAAGTCATACAGTTTTGAGATCAGTCTGAAGGAGATAATGATGTTGAAGGTGGGGCTGTAGTCAATGAGCTAGAGTCTGACACAGGTGTCTTTGTCATCCGGATGTTCCAGGGATGAGTGCAGGACTAGGCATATGGCATCGGCTATGGACCTGTTATGTCAGGCAAATTGGAGGGGACTGAGGCAGACTGGGAGATTGGAACTGATCTGGGCCATGACCAGCCTCTCAAAGCACTTCATGATAATTGAGGTCAGAAGTACTGGGCAGTAGTCATTAAGGCACATCATATGTGTTTTCTTAAGTATAGGGATGATGGTGGTCGTCTTGAAGTTGGTGAGGACTTCCATCTTAATTTGTCCTGGAAGATGTGATGGTGAGTTTTCTTGAACTGCTGCAGTTCTTAGGCTGTAAGGACAGTACTATTCAGGAAGGAATTCCAGGATGGTGTCTAATGTACCCTCTTTTTTTTATTCCTGTGTGACCTTCCGCATTGAGCATACAGGCTGTTAAAGTGGAACTGGACAGCGTACAAGAGAAGGTGACCGAGTGTGCATGAGTTCCCCGTTTTAGAGAAGGTTAATTGTGACCCAGTGACAGTGAAGGAATGGTGATTTATTTCCAAGTCAGGATGATGAGTGGCTTGGAGGGGAACTTGTGAGGGATGATGTTCCCGTGTATCTGATGCCCTTTTGGATGGGTTTGTAGGTTGCAGTCTAACGAGCCTTGTTAAGTTTCATCAGTACATCTTGCAGATAGTACACACTACTGCTACTGAGTGTTGGTGATGGAGGGGTTGGGTGCTTGTGGATGTGGTACCAGTCAAGCGGGCTGCTTTGTCCTGAATGAAGTCAAGCTTCTTGTGTTGTTGGAACTGCACTCATCCAGGCAAGTGGGGAGTACTCCTACAAGGCACAAGTCAGGAGTGTGATGATGGTGGAGGTTTAGGGGAGTCAGGTGGTGAGTTACTCACCACAGTATTCCTAGCCTCTGACCTGCTGTTGTTGTGACTCTGTTTATGTGGTGAGTCTAGTTGAGTTTCTGCTCATTGGTAACCCCCAAGATATTGACAGTGGAGAATTCGGTGATGGGTTACAGTTACGGTTAGGGTTAGAGTGTGAATGTCAAGGAGCAATGGTTAAATTGTCTCTCACTAGAAATGATTTTGGCCTGTTTAGTGTAAGTGTTACCTTTCACTTGTCAGCCCAAGTCTGGATGTTGTCCAGATCTTGTTGCATTTAAACATAGACTACTTCAGAATCTGAGGACTTGCAAATGGTGCTGAACATTGTACAATTATTGATGAATATCCCCACTTCTGATCTTATGGTGGAGGGAAGGTCATGGATGAAACAGCTGAAGATAGTTGGCCCTCGGACATTACCCTGAGGAACTTTTCAGAGATGTCCTGGAGCTGAGATGACTGACCTCCACGAACCACAACCAGTGCAGTTCCAGTTCCCACACCACCAAGAAGGATGTGATTGCACTGGAAAGAATGCAGAAGTGATTTCCCAGGCTGATGCCTGCGATGGAGAAGTTTAGCTAGGGTGGATAAAGCACTGTTTTCTTTGGAGCAGAGAAGGTTGGGGGTGGGGGCTTGATTGAGGTGTATAAGACTGAGGGGCATGGACAGGGTGGATAGAAAGCAGCTGTTCCCCTTAGTTGAAGGGTCAAGAACAATGGGACATAGGCAAGATTTTATCATTTTGAAATTTAGAGAGAATTTTGAGGGATTTATTTTCACCCAGAGGGTGGTGGGGGTCTGGAATACACTGCCTGGGAGGATGGTTGAGGCGGGAAACCTCACAACCTTTAAAATGCAGTTGGATGAGCACTTGACATGACCCACAGCCTTGAATGTTATGACAAGTGCTGGAAAGTACAATTAGTGCAGATAGGTCAGCACAGACATGATAGGCTGAAGGGCCTCTTCTGTACTGAGGAACTTGCACTCCAGTTAGTTACAAAGATTCGAGGAATGTCCACATAAATTGGAAAGCAGCAAATGTAACTTTGTCATCAAGAAATGAAAGAGAGGAAACGGAACTTGAGGTCAATTTACTTGACATTAGCAGCGCAATAAATGTTAGCGCCTGTTAAAGATGTGGTAATGAGGTATAGAAAAGTCACTGTGTGATTAGGTAGAATGGACATGACTTTCTGAATAGAACTCTGGACAAAGGTAATGTGGGCTGCTTTCGACACTTGAAGGTTAATTACCGTCTCTTACAGTGGCCTGTCAGCCCACTATTCCTGTACTGGCTCTTTGAAGCTATTATCCAATTAGACCCACTCCCCTGCTCTTTACCCACAATCCTCTAGACTCTTCCCTTTCATGTATTTACTCAATTTCTTTCAAAGCAGCACATTCCCCATCGTAACAAATCGCTGTGATAAATAAAATATAAAATGTTCAAAATGACATGTCTGGATTATTTAATAAATGATGGGATATTCTGGGCTCTATCTTCCTCTTTGGTCTGTCTAGGCATGCTCCCCTTGGGGGTAGCTAGCTCCTTGCTTCACCTCTGAGTTGATTCTGGTAGACCTCTTTGGAAATTCCAGGCAGGTTTAGAGGTAAGTTGACCATAAGGCAGATCATTTTTAACATGGGCAAATAAATAGTGCTGACTCTGGAGGTCTTAATCTGTTTTCAATAACAAACGTGACTGATATAAGGAACTGGACCCAGATTTAGAACTGCTGCAGCAGTAATTATCAGTACCACTGTTCTGTAAGCAGTCTGAGCCCTTCCCACTGAGGGCTGTGTAATAATGAGTTAACATGCATGCAGATGTGTGAAATAGGTTCAGGAATTCAGTGCCTCATGACTACTTAATCATTCAATTAGATTTTTTTAAATAAACCATTTTAATTCCTTTCTGGACTCAAGGAAGGTACCAGAAGGCTACTAAACTTGTTCATAGAACAAAAGCAAAGAACAGAGAACAGTACAGGCCTAGAGCTAGGAACTGCAGATGCTGGAGAATCTGAGATAACACGGTGTAGAGCTGGATGACCACTGCAGGTCGAGCAGGAACGCTGACGTTTCAGGCCTAGACCCTTCTTCAGAAAATATTCCAAGTGTGGTCTAACCAGGGTTTTATAGAGCTGCAGCATAACCTCATGGCTTTTAAACTCAATTCCCCCGTCAACAAAAGCCACACTACGCCTTCTTTACAACCCCAGCAACTTTGAGGGATCTATGGACGTGGACCCTGGGATCGAGAATCCTGCCATTAACCCTTAATTCTGCCTTCAAATTCGACCTTCCAAAACGAATCACTTCACGTTTTTCTGGGT